AAGTCCAAGAGTGGCCCACCACCAAAGTCTTGGTGAATTTCGGTCCCTGCAAAGGTGACATCTCTGGTTTTAACCTAGAATCACGTTTAAGTTTGAAGGGTGGGAGCTGCAGACTGGCCATGGCCATGAGCATAAGGTTGTGATGGTTGGAAGAAAATTGATTTACTACAGAATTGCTGGAGTGGAAAAATGTATTTTGAAACTTGAAATGAATCATCACAAACTCCATCAGCCAAGCACTGCTTTGAAAATTCTATCCAAAACCACGCAGAAATAAGCAAAGCAAAATTCTTGGACACTTCTTAAGGAATGATCGATGGGCTAGCACCTCTCAGAAACGTTTCTTGCCAACAGTGATGCTGGGGGTGACCAGCTCTGTCTGTACCTAAGCCTCTATGCTGGGAGTGACCAGCATTGTCTATACCTAAGCCTCTCCCCAGGACGTCTGGAGAGGATTTCCTGGTAAAATCCACTACACTGACGATGCAGCCCACAGAGTATGAAACACTGCAACCAAGCTGCTCCGTGGATCTCAGCCCCCAGTCGAGCAAAGGTCCTCAGGGCTGAGTGTAGCCCACGGCTGACGGACAGCTTCCGGCAGGACTTGGGGCTGGGGCGGGAGTGGGGGGCCCAAAGCACTGTTCTGTGAGATCAGGGTCCCCGTGGTTTGATGATGCCCTCGTTTGTCTCAAATTGGAGCTATTTTCCAATACTTCTTTGGGAGCGGGGTGAATGCCTCCTTCTAAGGGGTGGTTCAGAGTGTTAACAGGAGCTCATTGTTATTTAGGGCAATCAGCCCGTGAACAAATAATCAAATCAGCTGCCACATCCTGGTTCTTCTCAAACTTGCAAGCTTTTTGATCCCCCCCCCCACCCCCGACTTCCTTCCCTCCACTAAAAAACCAAATACACAAAGACCTGTGCTCTTGCCAGACATCATGCACTTTTCTACAGGGTTGTCTTGTCTTCCTCAGAGGCAAGTCTGGGGTGTAACTCTCCCACCCCAAACCTCTCCCTGAAAAAGGGCCCCATCTGGGTTTTAGTGACCTGACCCTCAACCTAACACCCCTATGCTATTGCCCTCTCGACTGGGATGCTGCTGCAGATGCAGAGGGGATGCTGGAAATGTGCGCAGTCATGTTTTGATTCACAGCTGCAGAAGGACGGGGGAAAGGCAGTCGGGAGGGGATTCGCTGTCCACGGCCAGGGACGCTCAGGGTCCGGAAGTGCTCACCAAAGGCTGAACAAGGTCCCGAGTCCATCCCCTGCATCCCCTTGGGGGCCACTGTCCGAGGACTCTGCCAGCTCCTAGGCAGCACAAGCCCCGTGTGCTTGCGCTCCCTGTCAGGAATGCTCTTTCTCCCCTACCTTCCCTACACCTCCCCTGCCCCACCTGCTCACCCCCTGTTCCTTTTTTTAAGAACTTAAGTACTACTTATCTTCTTGGAGAAGATGCTTCCTTGACCCACTCAACTAGATTATGTCCCAGTATTACAAGCTCCCCAGCAGTCTGTAGAACATTGCACACTGGCCATTAAGCAATTACGTGCGTAATTCCTGATCATCTAACAGCTTCTTCTTCCGACCTCACAGACGCTCCCAGAGAGCAAGACAAGCTGCGTTTATGTCCACCAGGCCCTTGGTACCTGGCCCATCACAGGTCTGCCATGATTCTGCAGGAGGACTTCTCAAAACAAGTTCTCCCCTCACTAAACACGTCCCTAGTCCCAGGTTTAACCCTACTTAAGCTCCCTGGAACAGCTGGAGACCTACCCAGGACTCCTGCTATCAGTTTTCCTTCTACTATCGGCCTTACAAGATGTGATGGATTCAACTTCCCAAAACTGCTCTGCTCGAAATACTCAGCTCAATCTAAATGCGACTGACTGTTCAGTTATTCCAAATGGAGTCTTGGCTTCTTAACATTGCATTCCAAGTTCTTTGCAGTCCAGTTTTCACCCACCTTCTCCAACTCTTCTGCCTTCCTCCCAGTAAGGAATGAACTTCTCAAACTCTCCGCATCTGTCCTGAATCGCCCACTTCATTCAGCTCTTCCCTCCAACCTTCGCATCTCACTCTGCCTGGATTTCCAGGCTAAGCCTACACCTTATCCCCTCCAATAAGCCATGAGTCATCCTAAATGAAAGACATCTCTCTCAGCCCCCTGCAATCTGAGAGTGCTTCCTCTGGATTTTACTTGAGAGTTACTTTCTGCCTGTACTAGAATTATCCACATCCCTTACCAGACTTTGAATGCCTTGATGGTGAGACCCACGTTGCCATGTTTACCCACCACCCTTGGACTCTATCACAGGGCCTTGGAGATAAATATCACATCAAAGAATAGGGCTGAGGGACACTGTAATCATGTTTGTGGTGTACTAATACTGAGAATTTAGAAATGAATCCTACAATATTCATTCCATTTGCTAGAGGACATCAACTAGTGACCAAAACACCAACAGTCTTCTGTTGTTCTTTACCCAGGTAGACTTCACACTTGCTGTTCATTTCACCTTCAACAGTTTCAGTCAAAAGGTTACTGTTTATAATATAACCAAAAGAAAACCTCTATGCAGAAGCCTTAATAAATATAACGAAATCATGATGCTAATCATCATGGCGATTAAAAAATGGAAAAAAGTCATCCTTTTGGTTGCTAGGCAAATTGCTAATCTGAATGAAGCAGATAAAGTGAAAGTCACTCAGTTGTGTCCAATTCTTTGCGACCCCATGGACTATACAGCCCATGGAATTCTCCAGGCCAGAATACTGGAGTGGGTAGCGTTTCCCTTCTCCAGGGGATCTTAACACAGGGATCGAACCCAGGTCTCCCACATTGCAGGTGTATTCTTTACCAGCTGAGCCACAAGGGGAGCCCAAGAATACTGGAGTGGGTAGCCTATCCCTTCTCCAGTGGATCTTCCCAATCCAGGAATTGAACCGAGGTCTCCTGCATTGCAGGGGGATTCTTTACCAACTGAGCTACCAGGGAAGCCATGTGGTGGAAGCTAACTTGAAATTTAGCTGGTGACACCTCTTAGGTAAACTAGTAACTGTTGGGGATCTATCTTCTCTTAAATACAGACCACATTGGGAGAGTGGATGGATTTATATGATGTGATCTAGGTAAACAATAGTGATCCCACCATAAACTACAAGCCGCCATCTCAGAGCACATAATGTTGACTCAGGATCAGAAAACCATCTGATCAGATGGGGTCACACTAGTTCCTTCTGAAGCGGCCAAGTAAAGGACCCTCTTGTAAAACATCTATGAGTCCAAAGCAAGCACTGCATATTTACAGAGTCCGCATAGACATAAGAGGGTGCTGGGCCTAGAGATAATACACAGAGTCAGTATGAGTACAAGTCTTCCTATGCACAAAAGGCTGGGCTTGGGGACCAGAGGACATGTACCAAAGCTGCTCTTGTGCTCAGCAGACAAACTGCCTCCCATCACCAGCCCAGCCTGATACAAAGACAGCCACTTTATCACCAAATTGCCAGAGCTTCTAATACAAAGCACAGTCAACACTCTTACATTTATAAGCCCTTAATCACAAAATCATTTCAAAATATTGGGTTGGTCAAAAAGTTTGTTCAGGTTTTCCTGTATGATCTTATGAAAAAATTAAAAGAACTCTTTGGCCAACCCAATAAATTAAGACCACTACATGTAAAGAAAATGGCAATCCACTCCAGTAGTCTTGCCTGGGAAATCTCATGACAGAGGAGGTTGGTGGGCTACAGTCTACGGGGCTGCAAAGAGTTGGACACGACTGAAACGACTACACAACAGCAACACATAAAGATGAATCACAGGAAAGCATCACCATCCAAAGAATGATTCACCTAGAATGCCCCTTTGGGGGTGAGGCTAGAAGCAAAAAATTTTACTTTCTGATTTAGAGACTCAGGCGTGGAGTAGGAAATGGCAACCCACTCCAGTATTCTTGCCTGGGAAAGTCCACGGACCGAGGAACTTGTCAGGCTAGAGCCCATGGATCACAAAAAGTCAGACACGACTGAGCACACACACAAGTAAGCAAGAGACTCAGGGACCCTTGAAAGAAAAGGAGGTCTGATGAAACAGAGAATAAGTCATAAGACATATAACACATTGGCTGTGCATGCATTTTCTCTAACAATCAGTATTTGACAGGTTAAAGCGCATCAGTGAGGATGAATCATGTCCGTCTGAAGCACAAAATCCACCAACACAGAAGCTTGGAAGAAGAAACAAAGAAGCTTGGAAACTTCATATCCTTTGGTTCTCTGAACAATCAGAGGCCTTGTCTAGTCAACATTTGGAGTAACTTTCCCCGGGGGTATTTTTATGATCTGAGAGGGGTAATAGACTGACATTCTCATAATACGTTTTCATTTTTTGAGATTAAAAAGTATGTCTCTTTAAGAAGCCACATTTTAGATGCATTAATGAGAACAAGCATACCCTCCTCCAGCTCAGCGAAGGTTAAAACCAACTGGAATAGTCCGGCCTCCAACAAACTTTAAACATTTGCTTGAAAAGTGTACATCAAGGAAAAGAGACTTTGAGAAGACAGGGTATAAAATTATACTCTCATGAGATTTGAGTTATTTAGCATAGAGGTGCGTCATGTTTGGAAAACGAAAGCCCAAGTAATTAACAGAAAATTTCAAACTCGAGGGCAAGAGGCATTGATGTTTCATTATAGTAAAGTGCTTTTCTTCAAGATCCTAGACTGAAATGGTTATTAAAAATAAAGTTTCAAATTCCTAGTATTTAAACTCTCCAGGCAACTGGAAAGAAAATGGGTTCTTAGAGCCAGAAGGGTTGAAACCTACAAGCTATAAAGCCGAGACTAGCTCTCATTAGATGTTATGTATGTTTTTCTTCTGAAATTTGTTCCTGTGATCTCTAGGCCTGTGGAACTGGGGAAAAAATTTGTGAACAACTGGCGTGGAGGGGCTGCAAAGCTACTTGCTGAGAGTTGAATCATGAAGCCATTACCTACCATGCTCCAGCGCTTTCATGGGAAACCAGAAGAGGATGAGCGAGTGGACCAAGGCGTTGATGCAGTGACCCCAGAAAACCTAAGGGAAAACAGACCGAGGTTGTCAGGAACTGCCCACACTCTTGACCTCTGTGTGGCTCAACAAGCCCCTCACTGTCAGGGATGCGGGCGGCAATTCCAGCTCCAGAAGGCGGAAAAAACCAATTTCCTCCTTTTTAGCTACAAATGAGCCGGCTGTCTCCAGATAATATTCCTTGAGTACAAAGACCTAAAGAGATATTCACATATACACAGGACAATATACAATCTACCCACATCTGAAAAATAAATGATGATCCATTTCCTTTAGAACTGAACGTAAGCCGGCAACATTTTACCATCACTCAAAAAAAAAGGGGTAATAGGTCACAGTGGGACTGAAGAGACTGAAACCATCCTTTTGGAAAGCGTTAAAAACATTTAACATGTGAATTCTCACACAGCACGCTCACTCTCGTTTCACCCCTGAATATCCCTCCCATTTTCGGTTTTTAGGATTTAGATGAGTATCATTCAGAGTTAAAGATTCTGTTTAACACTTAAAAAGGTCAAACAACAGAACTTTAGTTCTAAACCAGTCGTTTCTTCTAAATTACAGATTCATAAATGCATTTCAATCATGCTTTTAACCCTGAGATGAAAGAATTACTAAAGCTAGATTGAATTTCTTTAAAAATCTACACATCATACTAGGAACTGCCATATAGCTTTCTCTTAACTAGTGACGGGACAACTGAAAATGATGAGAAATAATAAGACAATGAGATCTTCCTACTTTAATGTTTAATGTTCATGATTTCCCTATCTCTTCCCTGCCCTTTACGTGCCACCCCCATCTTCAGAATGCCTGCAGGTTAGTCTCTGAGCACCCTCATCTCTGCTGTCTTTCCAATGGGTCCACTCCCTACCCCCACCTTATGCAGCCTTTGAATTCAAATTCTGTAGATCACAGATTTGATTCACATAAATGATGCTGGACAAAGAGACCCTATTTCTCATGGACAGAGCCACAGTGAACAAGGACACAATCAGTCACTCCTATCTCCTTGTGTGTGGAACACACAAGATCCAGCAGGATCCCTCGTACTTTTTCAAGATGTGGACACAGCTATCATGCTTTCCTGAACATGAGGCCGCTCTGAAGGAGGACTGTCACAACACCTGGCTCAGAACAAGGTCTTCAGGGACCGCTCTTTGCCCAGGACTCCGGATGACCCTCTCTCAGGCCCCGACGGTGGTCACACAGGCTGGTCACACACTCAACCAGCACCTGCTGTCTTAACTGAACGGGGCAATGAGCCTCAGTTCCAGCCCCTGAAACCCCTCCTGCATGAACACTGGAGATGGAAACATGGCAAATGCAGGCATATGGGCATCTCTGCCTCCAGCCCAGCTGGGCAACTGCCCTCCTCAGGGTGGGTCCTCACCGCTGCCCCCCAGATGTGGCTGGCTGGCCAGTGACCCACCAGACCCCTTGGCTACTCTTGATCAGAGGACCCTGCAACACCTAAGCCTGCTCCTGCTCAGCTCAGCCCTGGATCCCTACTCCTTGTCTGTCTAGATGTCTTCTCTTTACTGATTCTCCAGACTGAGAAACAACAGCCACGTCTGACTTGATTCCTGCGTTCACCTCTGGCCAATTCTCCTGAAGGAATATTTCTCTGTCACTGAGAACCAGGCAGTGATGGAGTGAGGACCGTGCCAGGTGACGGGGCTTGATGGGATGGGGGAGGATTGGATCCTACAGGCCTCGGGGTGTGGGGGCCACTGGCCACGTGGCCATCAGGGGAGCAGGTGGGGAAGAAGGCTTTGTGAAACAGGAAGACTGGATGCTTCCTGCCTAGTCAGGCAGCTCAGAGTCCCCGGGTGTGCCATCCTGGGGGAGGTCTGGGGCTTTGCCTTCCTTCAAGCGCTCCCTCCGAGCATCGGCGGGGTCACCAGCCTTTCTGAGGGGTCCCATGTGCACATGTGGCTCACCTTGGTGTTGAAGCCCTCAGCGTTCTGGGTGATCTTGTAGAGCTGTGGGAACCTCAGCATGCTCTCCTGGCTGCAAGACCTCTCGAAGATGCCCAGCGTGAAGGGGGGCAGCGCTGTGAAAATCTGCGGAGATAACAGTGAGCCGTTAGCAGAGGCCCTTCCGACTCCTGCAGCCCCGGAGGTTTAGGTTGATGTGACGATGCCGTAACTTCAGGTCAAGTCCAAACCCGAGGTTCAGGGACTCCCTGGACACCCTCCCATCAGAGAAAATAAATGAAAGGTCATTTTACACTGTTGCCTAATCAGCATAAAATAAATTGACACAAAACACTAAGACCAACATCCTAAAAATGTGATTGGCCAAGAGCTCTGGTTCAAGGAATAACTGCCTTCCTTTGCAGATGAGCTGTGACTTCGAACCCGACATGGTGGGCTCTTTGTGGTGTGGGGGTGTTTTCCTGTGGGAGCCGAGGCCCCATTTACCTTGATTTTATGCTCACTTTTCAGGAAGCACAATGTCCTTCACCCACTTACTCAGTCATTTTACTGAGAATACATGATGGTTAGATACTGTGATAACCCTCAGGAAGGGAGAGATTTAAGAACAGAAGAAGGAAGAAGGCAAAGAAGCAGGTCCCTGATCCCTTGGAACTCTGTCTACTGCAGAGGTGGGGACGCGGCAGCTGGCAACAGGCACAGAACATACATACACAACAGCATGCTCTGCAAAGTCACTCCTGGGGAGACGATGCAGGAAGCGGGGGGATCAAGGAAGGATGTTTGGACCACAGAGCCTCTGGCCTGGAAGGTACTGCACCTGTAGAGTTTGGCGGGATGGCAAGGGGTGAGAGTGGGAGGGGACAGGGGGCAGCAACCCCACAGAACGAGCACCCGTCACAAAGTTCTGAGGCTCAAACACACACAGAACATTTGGGGGGACCTGGAGGTCATCCAGGGTGGCCAGGGACACGGCAGGAGACAAGGCTGGGATGGAGACAGAATGACCTCTGGATATGCTGAGCAGAGGGTGCTGACATTTGCCTGTCCTCCATAGCATGTGGCAGGCTTCCATCTGTGTTCTGGAAAGAGAAAGCTGGGTGCTAAAGCACAGGGCTGGAACAAGCATGTCATCCCATCTGGCAGATCTACGGGCCACCTCCTCCTCGGGTGTGAGCATGGGCCGCTTTCTGCTCGGCATGGACCAAATCTGTACCCCCAAGCCTGCCAAGTTCTGGGGGCCATGAGAACTGAATGTGCGTCTCAAGAAAGTGCTGAGTGCATATCAGTTCCCAGCAGCCTGGATGTCTGGCCAGGAGTCAGCCAGTCCTAAGTCTGCTGGGACAAGGCAACCAGAGTGTGCTGGGGTGAGGCCCGGAAAACTGGCCGGCTCCACCTTCAACTGGGAGCAGGGGAGAACAGCCCCAGGATGTCCATGTTCTAAAGATCTCAAGGAGAAAAAGATGTCAATGACAAATGCTACAGGAAGGTGCCTCACAGACATCTCAGAAGTGCTGCACACTCAGTGTATATATAAACTCACCCTCACTGTCGGGCTGAAGGAGTGATCCCCACATTATGTACACAGCCGGCTGTTTCTTCTTTTCCTTTTTTCACTTGACTTCCTCCTCCTACCTACTTCAAATCCTCTGGCCCTCTGCACCCCCAGGCTAACCACCTGCCAGATAGCTCACCTGGATTGTAGTGTGTGTGAGCGCGTGCACACATGCGCACACACGCGCACACACACACACACGTCAGGGATCATTACTTGTTTTTCAGAAACAATCCATCATACAAACTTTCTTCATTGTATTTTTCTCATTAAACGAAACACCATGGGAAGCCCCCAAGTTCCCAGGGTTTGACCCCAAAGCCGTCATTTTCATGCTCACATAATAATTCATACTATAAGGGAACCGTATTTTTTCAACCATCACCTATGAATAGGCATTCATCTTGTTTCCAGCTCTCTGTTGCCACAACCATCATGTAATAAACACCTAGAATATATTATAATATCTATCCTGTATCTTTTATTTCTCTGTGAAGGATTCCCAGAAGTAGGGCTATGGGATTTTAAAAAACAAATACATTTTTAACTTCACAGAATGCTGCTTGGCTGCTTTCAGAAAACGTCCCAATGGTTTCTCTCTCCTTTCATGAAGGACACAATCTTTTCCCTGCTCTCCTATCAGCAATTGCTTGTTATATTTTATTTAATACTCTCCACTTAGAAAAACTGAAGATTTGACTACTTCTAAAAATAAACATTCCGGGGCCACCAGTGAGTCTGACCATGTTTTCATGTATTTGCTGGATGTGAGGATTTGGAATTATGCGCAACATCAGGTCCTCTGTCCATTTTCAATTCATGGTTTATCTGCTTTTCTAAGAGTTCTTGAACTCTGTCTTTCTATCATAAAATTTCCTCCAAATACACTTTTTGTCTACTGGCTTTCTTTACGGTTTCATTTGTCATATAAAATGCTTTGAATTTCTATAAGATCAAGAAGAGTTTTTCAACATGCAATTACGTCAGGAGTTTCTTGCAGGATTTTTATAGTTTTACTTCTCAAATTTATGTCTCAATTTTTTTCTGAAACTAATGTATCTATGCTGGATAAGAAAGGAGTCCAATTTTACTTTTTTTCCCTATAAAGAGCCAGTTTTGAGAACACAATCCAAACTTTTTCACCACACTAAAATATCACCTTGGACATTGACTTATTAAATTCTCACATGTTACAGATCTAGAAGCTAGAACTGGGATTTAGTGCTAAGTTCCCTGACTGATCCGCCCAGTTCTCTCAGTACCATGTCGATGCGGTTGTGGCAGCCTTACAGCATGGTTTGATGTTTAGATAAGTCTACCCTCTGATTGTTCTTTTCTGAACATGCTTCGCATATTTACTCTTAGGCAGGCACCTGTTAATTCCATTTACACTTCAATATCATTTTATGCAATTCCCTTCCCCTACCCTCTCCCACCCAAACAATCATCATCAGGATTCTAACTGGAATCACATAAATTTACATGCTAATTTTTGGATGGGTTGATACTAAGTTTTATATGATACTGTGTGGAAGTCGCTCAGTCGTGTCTGACTCTTTGCGACCCCATGGTCTATACAGTCCATGGAATTCTCCAGGCCAGAATACTGGAGTGGGTAGCCTTTCCCGAGGGGGATCTTCCCAACCCAGGAATAGAACCCAGGTCTCCTACATTGCAGGCAGATTCTTTACGAGCTGAGCCACAAGGGAAGTCCTCAGTATAAAAATTATTCCTATGAAAGGTAGAGTTCTAATTGCTATTTTGAAAGGAATTATTACTCTCCTTTCATTTCTAAATCTACTGCTATACTAAACAAAAATAGCTAGTGACTGCCAGGTCAGAAAAAGCTATTGGTTTTCATGTATTTATTATGAATCTAGTCATTTAGATTTTCTTATAATTTTATCATTGTCTTATAGATTTATAACTTACAATCAAAATCTTACAATTTAATAATTTTCTCATAATTCTATCATTTCTTTACTGGTATGTTTTTGGGCTTTTTAGATGTACAGTCATATGAACATATTTACACAGCCATTTTTGGTCCACATATTTGTATGAGCACAGAAATATTTTACTTTTTCCTAGTATTTGTAATAGCTATTTAATTTTCTTGGCAGTTGCTGAAAATTCCCAAACAATGCTGAATTATATAGTGATGACAGGAATCCCTGACTAATTTCTTATGTAAAATGAAACAGTTTTAGGATTTTACCATTTATGGTAGTACGGTACTAGTTTTTCATAAATAGTATGCATTATAGCCAATTGACTTCCTTCTATGTTATGTTACTTAGATTTCTTATTTTGGGACTGACAGTTGGATTGACTCAATAACTTTTGCAGCATCTACTGATGGGATCACATTTTTCTTCTTTATTTGGCTGATACAGTGATATTTAGAAAGTTTTTTAAAGTTTTGAGTCTCCTACATTTCTGAAATAAACCAATTATCTGTCAAATATTTTATCCTTTTGATACACTGTTGAACTCTATTTGGTGACATCTTATTTATAATTTGTACACTTCTTTTTATAAGTGAAGCTGGGATCAGTTTTCTTCAAATTCTGCTAGCTTGATAAAATTAAGTCAGATACATTTCTTTGTTGTTAAAAAGTCATCTCTTCACACACAAAAAATGGATAAAATGTAACTGAAATCCATTTGATCATGGTAGCTTTTGTCACTGGTGGCTTCTTTGGTCTCATTCTACCCATAAAATAAAATGATGTAGAAATTTGACTATGGATATAATTAACATCTAATAGGATGGCATTGATCCATCACTTCAGGATATGGAGGAATCTGAAGTTAGTTTCAGAGCTATTTAATTCAGCTCTGTGAGAATTAAATTGGGAAACAGAAACTTGCTGCTTTAGCTGGTTTGGTGAATCAAACATGAAGAGTTAAGTACGGAAGAAGGAAAAGCAATATTGCTTGAAGAAAATGGGAAGAGCGACCCCAGTCCAGAAAAGCGGTCACCAGCATCATCTCAGATGTCACTAACTGCCTCTTGCCCTGGGTATCTGCGGAGCAACCTGGAGAGGAAGGAAATGCTAAACAGAAGAATGCCAGTGTATCAGTGGTAAAAGAATCTGCCTGCAATGTAGGAGCCAAAGGCGACCCAGGTTTGACCCCTGGGTTGGGAAGATCCCCTGGAGGAGGGCATGGTAACCCACTCCAGTATTCTTGCCTGGAGAATCCCATGGACAGAAGAGCCTGGCAGGCTATACCCCAAAGGGTCACAAAGAGTTGGACACGACCATAGCGACTTAGCATGCATGTACATATAGATTAGACAGCAGTGTTGTAGCCATATTAAACTTCATGATTTTGATCATCATACTGTGATTACATAACAGAACTGTCTTACCAGCTATGCACTTGAGGATAAAGCAGAGGGACATGATGTCTTTAAAAAAAAATTTTTTTTTTTAGTAAATCGCTTATTTGTTATTTATCTGGCTGCCCTGGGTCTTAGTTGCAGCATGTGTGATCTAGTTCCCTGACCAGGGATTGAATCCCAGTCTCCTGCATTGGAAGAGCAGAGTCTTAGCCACTGCACCAGCAGGGAAGTCCCAGGGACATGATGTCTTAACTGATTCCCAATTAGCTCAGAAATACATGTGTTGCAGTGTGTGCATGTGTTTGACTATATGTGCACATGTGAATGTCTTGAGAGAGAATGCCAGTGGGGGCAAAATGTTAATAACTGATGGATGAAGGTATACAGTTCTGTGTATCCTTTTTACATCTTTTCCCTAAGTTTCTATTTATTTCAAACAAAAGTTACCAAGACAATTTCCAAGGGAGGTGAGCAGACTTTCAGTCCTCAAAAGCATTGGCCCTTCCGTGACTGACTGCGAGGTCAATGACCCTCTGAGCCCACTGGACTTGACTGTCCCGACTCTCTGCCACCACTTCCTGGTGACCAACTTCCACACTGTGGCAACAGGGCCTTTTCACCTGGGAATTCACTTCTCAGCTGCAATAATCTCTCTCCTCTGGATTTTTAAGTTACAGTTAAAAAATACATCCCAAACCCTAGGGGGTCAAACTTTAATGTGGATAACCACTGTTAGAAAGTTTTGCTAAAAATTTTATTTGGTTTCTCAGTATCTTTGGGAAACTCTTTGTTAAGTTGGGACGGTGCTCAGGAATCCGCATTATCAAAGAATTCCTGGTGATGCTCATGCATGCGATTTGAGGACCACGTTGACCAACATAGTCCCACAGCCCATCAACATCTGATGTATCATAGATATGAGTTTGCTGGATGAACCTGAACTGCCCAATATGGCAGAGAACTAAGGAGAGGATTCAATGCTCTGCCCGAGCATGAAGACAGGGCTAAACTCCTTTTATTGTGTAACCAAGTGACGCGTATTTCAATTCTTAGTGCTAAAGCACAGCCTCTTAGGTCTCAGCCTTCCAGTTATTAATACTATACGTATGCGGGCCAGTGTTGGCCTTTTCCAATACTAAATCACTGTGGAGCAGTCCGTATATTTCCCCCTGAATGGTCACATAATTTTAACCTACTCAAAACACTTCTAAGTCCCGCAAAGTTAACAACCTGCCCAAGGGGAGGCCCTTTCCATGTGGTAGGTGGTTAGAGTGGCTTTTCTAGCATAGGTGATAAATGGCCATCAATTCAGCTCTGTTCTCTCCACTTGTCACTTTTGCCTTTGGGGGCACAATTATTAGCAAAAAACGTACTAGTGCACTTTGCGGTGAGTAACATAGTTTTCAACTGATCAACCAAGATCTGAACTTGGTTCAGCACCATCTTAGTCTCCACATGCGACCCTCTTCATCTGTTGAGCTCTATAGGGCTGAAGCTGTGTGTTCTGTGTGTTGCATGCAGTATTTTATTAAAATATAGAGCACCTAGCAGAGTGTCTACTTAAAAAAAAAGAGGGGACTGAGTAGATGGATGACTTGAATATCCAGCCACAAATGTATATACAAACTCTAAATATTTATAGCACCATGATTTATATTACTGTATGTCTGGTAACTTCCATCTATGCCTACCTATGACAGCTGTTTCAGAGTATAAACTCCCCCAAGGCAGAGAATATCAGAGTTAGGGTCCAAAACAAAAGTGTGAAAGCACAATTCAAGAAAGGTGCCTTAAGTTACACCCCTTGCCAGGAAAACAAAAGGCTAAGTAGTTACTTAGTCATGTTAACCTATAGTTGATACTTATTTTTAGCTTTTGAATTTGTTACAGTCAAGTAATGAAATGAGAACTCGAAAATCATTAAAAAATACCAAATAAACTGAAGACCGTTTTCCACAGGAGCTGGGAGTCAGAACTCATTACTTTAGCACTAACTGTGGGAGGAAATGTCCATCCACAAGGACACATAAGCTTTTAAGAAGGACAAAAAGGACACCAGCTTAGGTTTTGTACATTCACATCTGGGTTGATAGATTCAGAAACGAAATTATGGAGCTGAATGAGTTTAGACACAGTTCAGAAATTTTTTTTCTGGAGCTGCAAACATGGAAATGTTGCCCAGGCATTTAGTCAGGAGGTAACAAGGGTCTATTATCAAGATATATGGGTTAATAATTTCATGGGGTTATTCAGGAATGATCTGCGATGATTGAAACCATGTGTGGGGAGTTTGTGCTTCTGCAGGATGTGTGGCAGCAACGGAGGCCCTAAAGATGTATGTGAGCAGTGGATGCAGATGAGGGACTTAGCTCTGCGTCCCAGACACAAACAGCGCGGCCCCGCACGCTGTCAGAGGGATAGGGAGAGTGCTTACTTACCACGTTGTACAAGCCGATGCACCAACGTTCAAATAAAATCTGCCCAGAAAATCCATTAACGAAGGCAAACCAAAGCTGAAAGAGAAGGAAGTTCATGAAGTTTTATATCAATATTGACCTAAATGTTTCCATTCACTGAAGGAATCGTGGGGAATGTGGACCACCAGCTGGACACAGCTGCCTAGGGACACAGAGCCAGAGGACCGAGGTTATTCTTCCATAAAATACAGATTCCCAATATCACAAACACCAACATCCTAAGGACACTGTACATTGAAGGCATTCATCGACTTTAAGAGGTAGCATGCACATATTTATAGAAAAGCAATTTATGTTTAATTTATATCTAATGTTTCGTGTAAACACGTTCTCAATATGGGAAGGATCTCTACTTCATGGTCTTTTCCCTATAAAATTGACTTGATAAATATGACTTATCTTTGTAGGGCTTTCAAATAGATAAAAATGAAAAAGAAAAAAACAAAAAACAAACCAGACACACCACTGTTGGTCACATGTGTTCTTAGCTCATAAAGTACTTGTGTGCTCAGGCGTGTCTGACTCTTTGCAGCCTCATGTACTGAAGCCCACCAGACTCCTCTGTCCATGGAATTTTCTAGGCAAGAATATTGAAAGGGGTTGCCATTTCCTCCTCCAGGAGATCTTCCCAATCCAGGGATTGAATCCATATCTCTTGCATCTCCTGCATTGGCAGGTGGATTCTTTACCACTGAGCCACCTGGGAAACCCAATTTAAAGATTAGCCACCCCTAAAACAACAGTTTTATTCACATGTCTTCCCTACCATGTGAGGCCTGGGCAATCAGTACTTCAACCAAACTTTTAGTGCAATGAGAGTCCAGATCCATACAAGATACAAACATAATTCTAAAGTGTTTTAAGGGTCTTAACCTAATTTTCCCAAGATTGTGTTATACTTTTCTTTGTCCTTTTCTCACACAACTGAGTGAATACTGATAAATACCTAGCAAACAGAACTATTTTATTGCTTATTTCGGTTAATTTATTGGTTTTTGTTGAAGATAGAGTAGTAATATTTTTACTGCCCTGACCTCCCTAATAGCAACTGAAAGCAGCAAAAATAATTGAAAACAAAAAAGATATAGCTATTTTCAGTGAAACTATGAGATAGCCTTAGTTAAAACTACAAATGACATAGAATAGAAACTGATCAATAAGACGAGAACGTCAACAGCAGACAAAACCTTCAGAGACAGGACTTCCCTGGTGGTCCAGTGGGTAAGCATCTGTCTAAGAATGCAAGGAACCTCGGTTTGATCCCTGGTTGGGGAACTAAGACTCCCACATGCTGCGTAGCAACTAAACTTGTGCACGGCAACTACTGCGCCTCTGAGCCCCAACTAGAGAATCTAGTGGAGCAATGAAAGGATCCCACATGCCACAACGAAGACCCGACACAGCCTCATTAATTAATTAATTAAAAGAAAACAGAAAAAAAAATTTTTTTTAAACCCTTCAGAGTAAAAAGGTTTCCAAGAAAGAGGTGAAACAAGCCCAGAAAGAGCAGAATCAGCTCTTATTTAGAGGGTGAGATTGATGTAGGGGTGAGTCATGACTGATGTCCTGAGACTGATTCAACACAGCAGGCACACAGAGTTCAAGGGTAATATACACATATATGCCTCCTCTCCTCTTAAGTGATGGAGGAGGAGATTGGCAGGGCCCAGTAGGGAGCAAAGGGCAATCAATGCGGCAGATGCTAATTGAGGTAAACCAAAAGGAAATAAATGCAGATTCACCTAACAGGAAAGCTGTGATACACAGAAATTCACCACAAGGTGTAGAGGCCTCCAACTCACCTGCAGAGAAAAAACGGTGGTGAGGGAGGTGGTCACAGTAGCAATGGGACAGTGACGCAGGCAGAAGAGACAAACTACTGATGAGAAAGAGTTCTGAAAAACTGAGGTCCCCTCCCCTAGGCGTCACTACAAAATAACAAAAAATAAACAAAATAATGTGGCATAAATAAATGGCCAAATATGAAACAATCTCCATAGAAAGAACCAGTTCAAAGCACAGAAAAATATTTTGAATGCTCTCGACAAGCCTAAAAGAGCCAAAGAAGATGTGACCTTTCACTGAAACAAGCTGGAACAAGATGTGTAAGATACCAAAGAGGGAAACAAATAATAAGAGGCTGATGAGACAGATTAAGGACACATAAAGGGAAATAAAAATGGGCTCCCCACATGGCACTGGTGGAAAAGAATCTGCCTGCCAGTGCCGGAGATGCAAGAGATGTGAGTTCAATCCCTGGGTTGGGAAGATGCCCTGGAGAAGGAAATGGCAACCCAATCCAGTATTCTTGCCTGGAGAATTCCATGGAGAGAGAAGTCTGGTGGGCTGCAGTCCACGGCATCACAGAGAGTTGGACACAACTGAGCATCTGAGCACACACACAACGGGAAACAAAACTCAGGATGGACACTGCTGAAACTAGTCTGGGTTGGGTAGGATAGGCTCTGAGTAGAAAAATGCTGGGCAAAGGACAAAAGTTAACACTGAATTTAGGAGAAACTGACAGCCTTCCACATATAACAACAAAAGCCCGAAAAGGGGTACCTTTAAAAAAAATGTAGACTAGAAACAAATGTTCAAAGATATAATAGAAGAAAAATTTCTGAAACAGTCTAAAACCTTACTCAGCCAATAAATACAGAAGACACCCTTTGTCCCCAGAAAACAAAACAACAGCTACAAAAAGATCAAAAGCCATGGGCACCCTGATGTATCAGTTAATGACTTTTGAAACTTTGTAGTATCAACTCTTTAATATATTCAACCAGGAAAACCAATTAGCCTACAAGGGGAAAAGTCAAGTCGGTGTCATGTTTCTCCAGCACAGTTAGACAATACCCGAAGTCAGCAGTGAGTGTTCACAAGCCCTTAGGGAAATAAAGCATGAGGAGAATTTCAGTAAAACGTAGAAACCAAGGAAACAGCAAGAGCTGAAAACATAACATAAAATGTGATAACAGAAGCAATACCAAATATGTCTGTTACATTAATAATGCACTGAGAAATGCAGAAAGGATTAAAAATATGAAACCCCAAATATATGCTAAGTACCAGAGAAATGTGAAAAAGAAACACTATTCAAATAAGATTGAATTCATAACCCTAACTTACAAAGTCCTACAATGGACAAGGCCCTTGCCTGTCATCTTGAGGTCACTGTCCTTCCTTACAGAGAGGTAATGGCCTTCCACTGGTTCCTATGAGTGCCAAAGGTGGATCCAGCTTCATTACTTGGAACCCAGACAGAAGGCAATTATGCCAACAGCATTTGGTTCATAAGCCACCTTTATCTCACTCTGTTGAAATGCCTTTTAATATATGTTACCACAGTATTGGGAAAAGTTTTAGGTTGTTTTGGTCTCACGCCATATACTGAAACTAATTACAGATGGCTTGAATACTTAACCATGATACCCAATGCAAAGCATTAGGAGATAGCAGGAAAAAAAGTTATTTTTTTGTATGTGAAATTGACTCTATATGACATTAATTTTCAGAAATCATACAAAAAGAGAAATACATTTGAAACACTTCTATAGAGACAAACATTAATAAAGTTGAAAGAAGATGAACAAACAGTATATATAAATATGTATTTATATACATATTTATATACATCTGTGAAGATCTAATTTCCTTACTCTATAAAGAGTTCCTCAAATGATGAAGAAAATGCCCAACAAGCTATTAGGAAAACAGGCCAAAAATACACATGGAGTGTGATCACAGGACACAAAACCACTTATAAATGTAGGAAACCTCATTTTTTGTGAAACACACACACAAAGAGATATCATTTTTCACCCAACAAATGGTCAAAGATTTAAAAGTTTGACAACCTGAGAAAATAGCTACTTTCATACCTAGGTGGCAATACAGCACTGTCCACAAATATGTTTCATATATTTTTCCTTTGATCTAGCAATTCCACTTCTAGGAACATACTCTATATCTTACAGCTATAATCATATAGCATTCAACATAAAATATTAATACTAGGGGGTTACCATGGCATTATTTAGAAGGATAAGAAACTAGGATCCCCCGTGTACACTGGAGGCTGGTTAAATGGATATAATTCATCTAAAACAATGAAATACTAGGCAGACATTTAAAAAAGCAATATAGGTCTGTGCACATGGTGATACTGAACTCTCAATGATACAGTGATACATGAAAAATACCAGGGTACATATTGAATGGTCATGGTTATATGGAGTTGGTGGATACACTCCTGCATGCATGGCAAATTTCTGGAAGACCCTTACGAAATTGTTAATATTCATTATCTTGATGTAGTAGAAGTGGTCTCTAGGCGGGTAGTATGGAGACTCACATACCTCTGTGAACTTTTTAGACATGTCCATGTTTTATTTAGATAACTGTTTCAAGCAGTTATTCTCAACTAGGGTTGATTTTGCCTCTGAGACACCTGACCATGCCTGGAAATGATCTGAGTGTGTTATCAGCATCTGGTGGACAGAAGCCAAAGATTCTGCTAAATATCATAGGATGACCTGCAAAGTTCCCTATAGTAAGGAACTGTCTAGTCCAAGGGGTCAACAGTGCCACTGCAGGGAAAGCCTGGATGAAAGAAATAGGTTCATGAGGTCAACATGATAAAGTTTTAAAATAACATGTTTGTTACATGTTTGTTATAAGCAAAATAACGCCACATAACAGACTGCAGGAAGTCATGCTTGTAGGTGTGTGTGTACAACGTGGGGGTTCAGAAAGCTCTGCTTCTTTTTGAGCAACTCCCCTCTGGGCTGACCTCGTACATAGGACCACAGGCCCTACACCTTAGAGACCGTGGTTACAATGGATGTGACTGCAAAAGTGGACAAAATTAGATCCCTAAACCAGAATATATCTTGATAAATTATCACTGAGATATCACTTTAAAGACAGTAAATTTCATGTAACTGTGACATTCTAATTGTTGAAATTCACAGTAAGGAAAAAAAAAAATCCTAAGAAATCAAGCATGTCTTTCTCAGCATTAACCTTCGCCC